CACTGCTGCCAGGCCTCGAGTCCAGAACGTGCCGTTGGAATGGCCTTCTGGACAAAGAACTCTTCCATCGAGCTCTGCTTGGTCGCCACCGTGGCCTGATGCCTTGCGACTGGCAGTTGCCGCAAGTTCTTGACCAACGCTTGCCCAAGGTCGCCAACGGTGAAGGGCAAACCGACCGTAGTTTACACGTCCGATTGCCACGGCTCTTGACTTTCACCGAGACCGGTACGAAGGAGACTCCGTGGGTCAATCTCGTTGCTGATGCGCTGAGTGATCAGGTACTCACAGCATGTCTTAGCATCGGCCCAGGGACACCATGCCATCAACTCCTTAAAGTTGAACCGGCGCTCCTTCGACACAAGCACACGGTAGAACGATCCACCTCGACGCAGACTGTGCAAAGATATGCCAATAGGGAGATCGGGCGTTCGTTCGACAGTATCACCAATTGTCTTGCCCACACCGTTTTGGTCAAGGGGGCGGCTACAGTCGATCCGAGGGACATCCGCCTTCGTTGCGGCATAGTTTAGGAAGACGAAGGTATTCGTCGCCATGTTCTGCCCGGACGTTCTGATCTTCGAAATGTACTCTTCGTAGAACAAGCACTCACGCAAGCACGGAAAGGACATCTCGTCGACGAGATGATACACTTGTGAGTCCTCTTCTACGCTCGCCTTCTTGTGCCAACGCAAGCGCACGGAGAGGTATCGTCCATTGCTGTCCGTGACGAGTTGAACGTCGTTCCAACGTAGCGCCAGGGCTTCGCTCACGTGAAAGCATCCAACAAAGCCAACAGCCAAGAGGAGCCGCAGCATGGCACCAAGAAAGGGATGCAGACTTGCAAAGGCATTCATGAGCGTGGAAAGCTCTTGTACGGTAAGGGGATGCGCCTTCTTCTCCTCGTCGACATTGTTCTGTTTGTTGCTCTTTTGTAGCCCCACCATATAGCGACTTGTTGCCGGGTCCTGGGCCGGGTTTGGAACGACACCAAGTTTGTTGAAGTACGTCACAAGGGACGACTTTACCTAGTCTATGGTACGGGCCTTCTTGCCCTGGGAGTAAAGGTGGTGGAAAAAGTCGATCAACTCTTCAGTTCCGGCAGAGCGCGGGTCGATGCCATCCTACAGCAGTCGCAGGAAGGACTCGAACTGCGTTTGATGCGTTTTTACGCGCGTCTGGTGTTGGTACCAAGGAAAGATTCCTCAATAGTCGTCTTCGACGGCACCGTCGCCTTCTGTGTTGGCGGCATGCTCAGATCTGGTAGTTTCAAAACTGCCTAATTTACATTTCATTTCTGCCAATCCAATTGTGTTATCAATATACTGGGGCGGAATGGAACGCCCACCGAAGTTTTTTGAGAATCAGATGTCTTTTTATCCAATTACATTTAAGATCTTGCATACTTTAATCTAATTGGTGAAATTAATATATTTCGCGCCAGCGGGATATCGCTTGGCTTTCAAAAAATTCACACATCGAATTATGTGGCGCGCGTCGTATCCGATCTCAACTAAGCTCGAGGTCATTGGCCTACTTGAGACCTTATCTTGTCGAGAGGTGGCGAAGTTAAAGGGTATTCCACGACGAACTCTCCGATCATGGTACGCTCAAAGATTTGAACTCCTTGACTTCGATGGCAACAAGAAAAACAAGAAGATGGAACCAGGTGGACGATTCGAGAAGTTCCCAGACCCTCCAGGTTTAGTAGGAATCAGGGATGAGAAAAACCCGATTTTTTCGGGCAACAATCGGGTTTTTGGTTTAATACAATAAAACCCGATTTTGGCGCAAAAAAACAATAGCTTTATTCTGGCGCAGGTCGAGCATCGATGTCGCGTTCATTCTTTCCATTCCGGTTTGCTGTTGTAATCAGAATTATCGGATTCGTCCAGCTGTGCGTAATCGTAGAAGGCCGGCAAGTTGCTCTTGATATACGGGAGCTTGTCAATGCTCTTCGGGTTCAGCGATTCCTCAAATTCGAATGAATGAAGCCCATGATGGACCAGTTTCGCTCTGAGGCGGCACTCGACGTTGCCATGCTGAAGAGCTTGAAAGCGATCTGGCGCAGCTCGGGCCAGTATTTGCCATCGACCAACCAGTACTGCAAGACGGTCTTGTTGCCTTCGACGCGAGAGCTGTGGCCTATTCTTGGCGAGATCAACAAATTCTAGTGATTTGAGCCTTGAAGGGAATAAATCCGAATATAACCAGATTTTGCCCCCGCAGAAATAATCGTTTTTTTTATAAAACCGAATAAAACCGGATTGTAAAAAACCGCGCCGTGCCATCCCTGAGTAGGATTCATAAACAAAATGAGAGATGACGAGCGTGCTCTAACAACTACTCACATGATCACATGGATCAAGGTCCACCAGCGTGAGTGGCTCATGTCGTATCTCGCTTACCGAAAAGGCTGTCGTGGCCTACGACTCCTTGATTCGTTTTCTCCGTCGCTTCTGCCAGCGCCATGGGTTCTCCCGCCAACGTCAAACGAAGAACAAGCTCAAGCAGACCGTGTTGACCGGAGTCCGCGACGAGTTCGCCTGTGACTTCCATCGCGAGTATCGTTCCTACGAGACCAACTGTGTGTACAACGTTGACGAGACTGGCATGTACTACAACCTACCACCAACGTATATTTGGTTGGCTCGCGGACGAAATGCCAAGATCTCCTCGGGCGAGAAGCATTCGATGCGGATGACGGAGTCCAGACGGCACGCGCGGATAGTCACAAGTTGCCTCTACTGCTCATCATGAAAGGTGTACTGGGAGCGCGCATTGAAACCAAGGAGTTTCTTACCTTTCCTCGTGACCATCACTACGCCATGCAGGAAAATGCCTGGACGGATTCGGTCGTGTGGAAGAAGTACCTCGGGGATGTGCTTGGCGAGTCGATCGAAGAAGCCTCAGTGGTACTAATTGACAGCTTCGAAAGTCATGTCTCGGATGAATCATACAAGATGTGCAAGAAGAACTCGGGTCTCACCTGTGCCCGCTGCCGCCGAACTCAACCTCGGTTTGTCAACCCCTCGATGTCGGGGTGATTTCCCCATTCAAGCGCAACCTAAGAAATTTGTGGTTGTATGAGGAGCAGTTTGAAGGAGACTATGATGAAGATCCGTACTCACCAACTGCTCGCCAGAAGCGAATGGCCATGGTGTTGCGCGCCATTGCTGCATGGGAAATGGTCACTGCTGACGTCATTCGGCAGTCATTTGCCAAGGCACTTCGTGTAAATTGAATGTATTTTCATGCAATTTGTTTTTTATTTCATACAAATTCTGTATACTGAGTTAATTTTATACATTAATTTTTTTCAAAAATGTTCGACGCGCCCGGGTCTCGAACCCAGGGCACACTCAAGACACACAACGTGGTTAACCACTGCGCTATCGCGTCGAACGCTTACGCTGTAGCCCGATCCATCGTATCAAAAAAATTAAAATTTTGCCTTCTTACACCTCTGAGTACTTATGACCTCTTCAATCGGTTGCTTGAAAATTTTTGAGTGCGGTCCATGGTCGCTTTGTTTGTGTAGAATTTTATTGCCCCTTAAAATCATTAAATTTCTGAATACGGACTGTGATAGGCTACATTTTATGTCGAACATCAAAGCACCGTGACCAATTGGATTGAAGAATTCACCATCTCACTCGAAGACAAGGTGGGCGTTGAATTCCGTCCGTCCCAGTATGTTCGTGATATGTTTGTAAACGACAATTTAAGCGGCCAATCTGATGCTGCAAAATATCACCTTCTAATCAAAGCGATATTTGATGTCGGTCATCCAATGTCCTGGCGAGAATGTGTCGGTTTAATATCGGTTGCCATGTACATGTTTAAAAAATTCTGGCACCTGTATACTTCAATGCCAAGCCAGAAATGCCATTCCTTTTGACCAATTGCATTGCAGATACATTAAAAGCTGTGATTGAATGACTAAAATTCTTCTATTTATAGCCAATCAAGTTGGACTAATTCAATTAATTTAAAAATATTGATTGATTTTATTCTGCCTCCATGTATTTTCAGGATGAAATCATGTCGGCTTTTTCCGGGGTTCGCTGTACCGGCAACACTAGCGCCCACGGTACTTGTGTGGGCTATTGTAAAAGGCGAAGTGGGCAGTCAGTAAAGTACCACCACAACGCGGTCTTTCGTACAGTGAACCCCGAAAATAGCCGACACCCCTAAAAAGCCGACTACAGATTTCCCCCGCATTAGGAGACCCACCATAATTTAATATCCCTCAAAAATGTATAGTCGTGGAGGTTTGTAAAATATGAAGTCAGAGAGGTATTTCAAAATTCAATGCAATGGACACATGTTGACCATGGCATATGGTCATATGCCATCGCCGTCATCGAGGCAGCGGCAAAC